CAAAAGTTCATCAGTGCCAAAACAGTAAACAAGTACTATTACGGAAAGTATATGAGACACAAGTAATAGTCTATAATTGTCTAGATGATAAAAAAATAAATTATTATTATTACAGCTAAATATCATCAATAGGCAGAGAACGATTTCTTTACACTATACATATACAAATTATTTATTATTATTATTATTAAAACACAACCTTGGTGGCGTTTATTATGAGTACCAAAAGATGCACTAAACAAACTTTTGATAGTTTGTCCCCAGGGTTTAGGGTGATCGAGAATGCTCTGAACCCGGTGGGGAGGCCTAACGGTCCTCACTTTACTTACGTGTGTCGGTGGCACAACGGTCAGGACGCTCGCCAACCACGCACATGGTTCGGGGTTCGATCCCCGGCCGACGCACACCTGGTATCAATGGTCGGTCTGCTAAAAATTCCATACTTGTACCAAAATACGGTGTGGAATCAAGCTATAATAAAATAAAATAAATACTACTGCCCGGACGCTTAGAATGAAGTAGGTGATTGTCTTAACAGGTCACTCAGTGGAGCAGTGTTCCCATTGGTTTGCGGTGACTAAAATAAGGTTCCATCCTTTTGGATTTTTCTGGAATCTTATTTATGTACACAATATAGGTTTGAAATATGAGTTTTCCAACTCGCTAAGGTTACTCTCACATATTCCCACAGTTCAATATACTCCATTAGCAACAGAATACTACGATATATCTATTTGAACATTTTATTTTGTCGTTTAAATGTAAACCAAAATCACACGCTCAGTGATTGGTTAAAGAATATAGACTGTATAGATATAAAGAGCGGTTTGATCATTTGAAAATATACCTTGGCTTCCGTGTCACGCCTTCTTTTATTACATTTGGTGTTGCTGCCGGCCGACAAATGAAAAGCCTATGCCCAGCAGTTTTTTGAAGATGGAGACATATGGATCTTATTGCAGAACTTCGAGGTTGTTGCTCAGTTTAATGGCGTTCAAGAGTTGTCAGCGAAGAGGCTCTTGCCTTTAACGCTGCTGGGAGGTCGGTCGTATGCAGCACCGGCGAATACACGCGACAGTCAGGGTCATGCAAACTGCTTCCAAAGTTGGAAAGACCATACACGGTCACCACGAGACGGGGTCAGAAGTAGTGCAAACAAAGAGAAGGGGGTGAACGTCAGCGAGCTCCACTCCGGAAATGGATACAACAAACAGCAAGACAAGCAAACAAAGCCGACAGCACCAAAAACGATCGGACCAACTTCAGTCGAAATTATTTGACGCGGGTGGAGACGAGTGTGGTGGTGTGATACAGACATATTCTCACAGTTCAATATACTGTATTAGAAACAGAATACTATGATATATCTATTTGAACATTCTATTTCATGTCGTTTAAATGTAGTAAGCCAAAAATCACACACTCGCTCAGTTGATTGGTTAAAGAGAATAAAACTGTACAGATATATACATAATAAATAGCGGTTTGATCAGTTGAAAATATGCCTTGGCTTCCGTGTCTTGCCTTCGGCTGTCACAGTATCATCATCATCATCATCAAGCGTATCTGTCTCCCTGTCCCCTGCCGCCTTCCCCCCCCACACACACACAATATGTCCCACGTAACAACTGACTAAGTTCAAACAACCACCACCACCCCAAAAAACAACAACAACAACGATCATAAAGCAATGTAGAAATGTATAAGGCATAAAATTTGATCCGATCATGCGCATATATAAATGTAAACAAGAAATTCTAAATTTAAATCTATTAGAACTTAAAAGTGCAATAACTTTGTTTGTTTATTGGTTTGTTTGCTTGTTTGTCTGTATGCTTGCATGGATTATAAATAAATTTTAAAAAATACACAAAAGCCATGTGTATTTAAATTTTAAGAAAAAACTTGATTGTCACATCCACAAACTGACTGACTGAATGACTGACTGACTAAGTTTTCAATGGAGAACTTTGCAGCACAAAAGTGCAGTGTGTGTGTGTGTGTGTGGAGTTGAAATTGTCACAAATTTTATACTATGCACAAGAATAGACAGCGAGAGAGAGAGAGAAAACTAATTTTTTAGAAAAAACGATAATAAACAGAAATGTACAGGAGAAAAGAATAAAAATGTTGGAGAATAAAATGAGAACTCCATGAGCCAGCGATCTTTAGTCATTATAGTTCTTCTTAGGCATTTTGAGGACTCCAACTAGCCAGTTATACAGTTTACACACCTGCTTAATTAACTGGAGTTCACAATGGTATATACACAGAGATGCTTTCACTCTCTGATTGGCTGACTGACTGACTGTGAGTTGCCACACTCCCTCCATGTAGCACACAAAGCAAGAGATTCAAAACAGAGATATGAGGCAAACAGAATAGTAATATCGAAGAACAATATAGTTTTATTGGATATTGTCAGTCACAAGGATTGGATGCATCTGTGCCAAACATCACCGAGAACGACGATTTTGAGCTAGCCATATCACCAATTGTCTCCAGACGCCAACATTGGTTTTCCGTCCTCAGGAACCCAACCAGGAAGTCTACACCTCCCTATGTGACTAGCTGGCCTAAACTAACTGTTGTGGATTTATTTTCATTGACTGATGATGAAGCCATGTTTTGGTTTGACTACCACCACCTTTTCCAACCTCATCCATTGCCCGTTGTCGAGGTAGGTGATCGATATCTAGGGATGCATGCGTAACACATGTGCTAACCATCTCAGTCGATGTAACTTCACAGCCACCACTCGTCGATTGATTTCCCCCCCCCCCACTTACCTAGCACTCGACTGATGCCTAACCTTAGTATTGTTCACCCTATTATACCAATTCACAAGGGAGATCTCTCACCTTCTCTCTCTCTCTAAATTGCTAGATTCATCAAATTCTCATTATTCCTCTTTACACTTATATTCTTTCTCTTGTACAGAGTTCCACTTATTTATTATAGTTTTAGAAAGCGAACACACTTGCCCCTCTCACTATTTTCAATATAGAACACTTTGTACAAAAGTGCAACAGCCATCCAAGTTGCCACACTCGATATATAAAACACGTAAAGATAATTCTTATTTATGTAAAACATAAAACTTGATAGTACACTAAGAAGATGTGCTACACCATAGGCAGCAGAGAATGAATAAATAAGTAAGTAATATTTGACAACATTAAACAAAACTTCCATAGTATTACTGTCAGAAAAGAAAACTGCAGCATGTCCAATATTGATTGCGATTCTTGAGCATATTTCTTGACTCACCACCTACCTGATTCGAATTACTATCTCTTGAACCCTAAATAAGTAGGTGTAATGCACCAACAGATGCTAACCTAACACAAATATCCTTCATCTCACGACGTTACATCATCATAGGCTGATCACCTCCCTTCGCCTTTTCCATCCAGTCTCCCCAGGGCTGGCTAGAGAGAACATAGATCGGTACGGAAGTCTCTGGGATGACATGCGTAGCATATGTTCAAGCCACCGGAGCTGGTGTTTTCCAGATTGACAACCCTCAATGAATGGTGATTTCCACTGCGTAGACACACACACACGCGACCCCTGACCTCAGGATTACTCACACGATGATGCCATCCAACGCAAGCAATTCTACGGAGACAGCGATGATCGAATACGCAGAGTCGCCGCACATCCTCGACTCGGAGAGACTGACTGAGTTTTGCAGGTGTAGAGCAAGACAGAGGGCACCGAATAATTGTAAACCCAACAGCGTTTGAAGGCAAGGCTAACGTCGAGACAGCACCAGAGGTGGCTCAAGTTGACGTATGCTTCCCTAGTGTTCACGATACGGTTAGAAATTTTGTCCATCCTGCCTCCTCCAGGACTCATCACACCGCCACCCAGATACACGAACTTATCGACAACTTCAAGCGGTTCACCTGCAGTAAGAGTGAGTGCAGCTTGTAACAGTACTTTACACTTAGACAGCGCAAAGCGCACATCATACTTACAGAGATAAAGAAAAGAGAGGAGAAAAAGAAATCCAAAGAGCACTATAAAGAGCAGAGACATTTGTGGGAATAAGAAAAAGTCGTAACATCGAAAATCATAAGGGTTAAGTGAAATATGTGAAACCAGAGTGAGAGTGAATTCACATGCACCACCAACACCACCACAACCTCCATCGACAACGATTTTGAGCCATACACCAAACCAAGAGTCTCCAGTCATTCTACATCTCCCTCTATGTGGCTAGCTCAAACCGACTATCAAAGACTTAATCGATCAATACCAGGTTTTGCTTTAACCACCTTAATTGCCCTTGACTCTTGTCCAAAAACTAAATACTCTACCTTATATCAGCTAACACTGATTCAAAGAGAAAGGCGATTGGCTTGGCATAGGCAATAATCTCTCCGACAGATTAAGTGTTGTTTTATTTGCTAATGATGAATTATAATAAAACCCAAACTCAAGGCGCGTCGGTGGCATAGTGGTTAGGATGCTCGCCGACCACGCCACACGTGGCCCAGGATTCGATCCCCAACGGCCAACGGACACACTCCTTTACCTCGCTAACCCAGTAATAAGACTGGTAAAGAGGGAAGGTTGGGCATGAGGTGGCTAGCAACCCCATTCCGTAAAAATAAACACCGCAGCTACCGAAACACTTCAAGTCTCTAGCTTGAAGCCCTATGTTCCGCCACTGGGAACGTGAAAGAATAAAAAAAATTAGTACATGTTTTTCAAATAGTGAGGAAAGTCATTTTTAACACTCGGTGGCAACTTCTCTGACCGACTGCACCACTGGGTGACTCCCGGGTTCGAATCTCGGAGGCGACATGAATTCCTTCGAGGCACTTGCAGATACGCTTGCCAACTAGCACGAAACCTAGATGGCGTCCAAGGCTTCCTTTGGCCAATTGCCTCCTCCCAACCATCTAATACTTTGTCATCCATATCAAAAATACATATTATGCTCATTAAAAGTCACAACACCAATAAAATCAATATTACTGTTGACTTACCTTCCATCCAGCTGAACTAGTCGGATCACTACGTTCCCGAAAGTATTCATAATGTGTAATAATAAAATCATAAATTTGTTGTAAAGTTGCCTGTTTATCTGGATATGAACGTATAGCTACTGAAATTAAATCTGAATATGTTTCTGAACCCCATGGATTACGTCTTGATGATTTTTTAATCGGTGTTGTACTGGTCGGTGCAGATGCGCATACTGATGAACCGACAACACCAGCCGAGCCACCACCACCACCGCCAGATGTTGGTGTATTATTACTAGCTGGTGTACCTGATCTTGAAGCATTCGATGTTGTCATAGCTCGAGGACGTAGTAATGAACATGGTTGAATAGTATTATTGATTGGATCATGAAAATTTGGTATACTATTACTAGTCATTAAATTTGTTGTACTGCCAACACATTGTTTATCTAGATTATTATTATTGTTATTATTGTTATCTGATAAAAGAGCTGTACGTAGAAAACTATCACATGCAATAGGATTACCATTGGATAATAACGATGATGATGATGACAATAGGGAACCGCTAAGACTTGTTGATGAATTTAAATACGACATAAAACTTGACGGTGTTGAGGATAATTGTGTTAGAGTTGAATCTGGTGACATTTTTGGCGAATGCATACTACTAGCTTGACTTGGTTGTTGTTGTTGCTGCTGTTGCTGAAGATGACCGCCGCCGCCGCCGGCACCGCCGCTAGATACTCCTGTTGCTGCTCCTGGACTATGTTTTGAAGGCATTCCTATTTGATTTTGATCTGAATATGATCTGATTGTATGATGATGTTCATTGGCGCTTATACATGATGCTGCTGATGCTGATGGTCCGGTAGAAAGGATAGATAAAGGGCACGGATTTGAGACAAGTGTTGTATCACGACGAATATATGAAGCAGACATGGAAAACAGTGTTGTTGTTGCTGAGGTAACTGCACACACGCACGCACAAAGGCAAACACGTAAACACACACACAGATAAAGAAATTGAGAAGAAAGAATGCAGAAGAAGCAAACGTCTCTCTACAATGTGTTGTTCCCGAGTAGCAGTAGTAGTAATATGGAATAACAGATACTAACACCAGGCGTATGGTGTAATAAACTTATATAATAATACTAATAATAACAATATATTAATAATTTTCAATGGGATATCAGACCTTGATTAAGATGTACAAACGAGAGAGAGAGAGAAAACAAAAAGGCGCTTTCATCAGCTGAGGTAGAGAGCAGTAAAATTTAAAAAAAACCAAACGGAAATCAAAATTTTGCAGATATTTATATTATGTTGTATGTATATATGCGTGTATGTAGGTATGTATGGATGTGTGTGTAGAAAAATAAAAATACTGTCAAAATTGTTAGATGATGATAATGCCACAGAATGAAAAGTAATCACAAAATATTACCATCATGTGGCCATATGGCGCTTCTGTCTTCTTTTTGGTGAAGGATACAGTAAAGACCTGAAAGGCGAGGGGAAAAATACACATTAGAGAAAGAGAGAGAGAGACAGTTGGGTAAACATCTGTTTTAAAATAATAAAAAAAGGTATTGATAAAAGTTGCATAAAACGTCATCAAATATTTCTTCATTCAGTGGTTGCCTACTCTACGACGTGGGATTTTTCGTCCTCGGAAACACCTCTACACCTACACCTACCAATAGTGTGGTTAAATAAAGATGGAGTTAAAACTGTCAACAGTTCGGTGCACTAGACCATTTGATCCAAAAGAAGCCATAAAGTTGGCTAGCATTGAAGAGTTTTTCTCTATCATCATCTATCGGGTATCGAATAAATGACCAGCCTTCTGCAACACCGGAACTAACGGAAAACTCGGAAGACGAATCTGCCTTTGTGCCGGTGTGAATATCAACTTCACTAGACAAAAATCCATTGGCAATGAAATCTTGAAACCAATCGATTCCATGGAAATCAAAACTTGACTTGAATATCAATAAGATGCTCATTAGCGGCAAATGGCCCTATTCAGGTAGGTAGGTAGGTAGTTAGCTACCTGGATGGGTTCTAGTGGGAAGTCATGACCATTGGGGTACAGAAGGTGGTTGGGTGTGAAGACATTCGCTAGTGTCAGTCGCGCTATATCGTGTGTGAATTGATGGGTCCCAGTGGCTTAATGGTCCACGAGGTAGCTCGTTTTGCAAGCGGAAGGTCCTGGGTTCGAACCCTGACAGTGAAGTGGGTACGCAATGCTGAAGAGTAGGGAACCAGGCTGACGAAACAGATATCTTACAGTACTACAGGGCTGGTTTTCCAATGGTCCTCTAACCGATATGTCAGTTCATCATGATGAAATCCTGTAACCAATCTATCAAATCCCTGCAAACCAACACTGGAAAACAGTATTCTTTGTTTACTAAACTCAGTCTTTTCAAATTAAATATACGTTGAGTACTATGTGTACTACTTATTAACGCATAAATGAAATGCTTATCTTCAAAATATAATGATAAAGTTACCTGATCATTATTTTGGTATAGGATTATCTAGCTAATATAAGCATAAAGTTAAGCAATAAGGAATGTGTTAATATATGCGTTTTGAACGCTAGAGAACAGAGTTAGTAAAGAGACAGGAATTTCAGGTGAAGCAAGATAGGCGCTTACACCACACTCTACTGTGTGTAACTAGTGTGAAGATCTACAAACCCTTAACCAAAAAGAACAAGATCCGAATTTTTACAACACCGAGGTCAAGCCCTCAGTGACATCGTGCAAACACCACCAAAAAAAAACATTTCCAATAGGCTAGAATTGTGGAATTTCATCAACACCTTTTTATTTCCTCGCTTCATACTGACAAGACCAAACAGTCAACTCTACATAGGGATTTTTTATTTTTTTATTGCTTTACGTTCCCAGTGGCGGAACATAGGGCTTCAAGCTACAGACTTGAAGTGTTTCAGTAGCAGTGGTGTTTATTTTTACAAGATGGATTTGCTAGCTACCTCATGCCTAACCTTCCCTCTTTACCAGTCTTATTACTGGGTTAGCGAGGTAGAGGAGGAATGCATCCGTTGGCCGGGGATGGAACCCCGGACCATATGCATGGTCGGTGGGCATTCCTACCGTTGTGCCAACGACGCAACTCTACATAGGATAAACCAAAAAGAAAGGGATTCTGTCAGGCAGCAAATCATTGAGGAACCTGTTACCTAACAAATATATACAGAAGGAAGTAGAGATGGCTCGGACATAAACACTGAGAATAACCTTCAAGTGACATTTTAATGTCAGGTCCTCTTCTAGGGTAGAACCTTGAATGGAAACCAATCCAGTTGAGTGTCTTAGGATAACATGGAGGCGATTATTGTCATGTGATGAAGTTTGCCTGTCTGTCTGTTTTCAACATAGAACCTTGCACTGATGTGCAACAGTTCAAGTTGACACTCTCTCTCTCCATGTAACACACAAAGCAAGAAAAGGAAGTAGAAGAAATGCAAAATAGAGACAGTAAACAGAGATATCAGGCAAAAACAATAGTAATATGGAAGAACAACATAGTTCCATTGGATATTATAAGTCACAAGGAGTGGATGCATCTGCGTCAGCCACTGAGAACGACTATTTTGAGCTAACCATATCACTGATTGTTTCCAGCCACTGGTATTTACCGTCTCGAGGATCCCAATCAGTCAGTCAGGAATTCTACACCTCCCTCCCTACGTGGCTGGCTTAAACTAACTGTTGTGGATTTATTTCATTGACTGATGAAGTCATGTTTTGGTTTGACCACCACTAGCTCTTTCCTAACTTGATCAATCCTGTGTCAGCTAACATTGATCATTGTTGAGGAAGGCGATCGATGGCTAGGCATACGTAATATATGTCCTAACCATCTCAGTCGATGTAGCTTCACAGCCACCTCATCGATTGATTTCCCCTCCTTACCAACTAACACTCGACTAATAATGGTCTAACCTCAATATTGCTCACCCTATTATACCACTTCACACGGGAGATAGAACGCAAGCACCTATGATCAAAGACAGCCAGCTAGCCAGGCTTTTTATGTCCTCCACTCTCAATGGCCAGGCTTCACAGCCATAAAGAAGGACTGAATGAGAGGTTGTAAACAACTATGGAACTAGTTGTAAATCATGGTATAGGACCGAGTACAATGGATATATATTATGCTGCTTAAACTCGAATGTGTTCCACTTGAAACACAGGGATGGATAATAATAATAACGATATTATCCGGCATACAATTAAACAACTACAAAATGACACTACATTGACCACATATGTTGGACAGAGTAAAACATTATGCCGGGAAAAACAAATGGGATTTACTTTTATCAAAAATCTGATGAACAAGTTAATGAGTTGATTTGAGATAATTATAACATTTAGAGTCAATTAATTAAACAGACTCGAAGAGAAATATTAAGAACGGCATTAACACAAAGCTGGTTGAAAATTAGAGTATTTCAACGATACGAGAGATAAGCTTTATAATAGCGTATGACAGACAAACAAGCCTACTTAGGGGGGGGGGCTTGCAATTGACTACCTCTAAAACCTAGCCGACATGATAGATTTTGATACATAACTGCATACTACAACAACTAATAGTAATAATAATGATAATGAAAAGTAAACGGATTTCGTTATTTTTTCTAAAAAGAAAGATATGAGGCGAAATAGGGGACATATCAAGTCGTATCAAGCCTAAACAATCCTCATCACCATCAGCAGTAGCAGCAGCAGAAAATCATTTTGCAAGAAATAATTTATTTCTCTCTAATGCAATTTTTTTTCAACTGTCCTATTTTTAGTACGTTAGCAAAACAAAAAACGGGATACAAAAAAAAGAGAAGTAGCAGAAGAAGAAGAAGAAAAATAGCTCAGTCCTCCTGATAGGTTGGTTGGTTGGTTATTTATTTCTCTACTACTGCTTTATAATCTGAAATCTAGGCCACGTGATTGTGTTTCCACGTAGCCATTTCTTTTTTTTTTTTTCTTCAAAATATTTAACAACACAAAGAAGATTGTCAAGTATTGGTGTGTTTTTCTCTTTGTAGGGATTTTGTTTGATTGATTGGTTGGAGGATTTCATTATGAGCTGATACCACGGTTAGAGAACCATTGGGAAACCTGCGGTTCTAGTGGGAAGCTGTGACTAGTAGGGTACAGCAGGTTGAAGGTGAGAACAGTTACTCATCATTGAGGAAGACATTGCTAAGTGGTCGTGCTATGTCATGAGTTAGCTGGCAGAAATTGGAATTCATTCACTGACTGGCCATTGGATTGGCGGGTCCAAGTGGTTTAATGGTCTATGAGCTGGCTCGCCTGAAGAGTCCCAAATTAGTCTGACAGAACAGCTGTCCAGTACTCCAGTGGTGATTTTCCAATGGTTCTCTAACTGATGTGTCAGCTCATGACGAAATCCTCCAACCAATCAAACAAAGAAGATTGTAGATAGAATATTCTCCTCTTGACTATGAAAAGAAAAATGCAGAAGGTTTATTTGCTAAAATGCGACCATGAATCCAAATTGGTTATGAAGGCTTTGAGTGGGAGTATATACAACACTCAAATATCAATAATTCCTTATCACGTACGGAGTGATGGGAGGAATGACCTTACATAGAACTTTAGTACACGGTCTGTGTTTTAGACACCCACGATTGTAATTCATAGCATATCCAGACAATGAAAATGAACCTGCTTTGGATACCTTGAATTGAATACTTGATACACAATATTATAAAAACAATAGAAAGATATTAGCTATCAGAAGTCATATGCGAATATGCGATCAAATTGACTGAACATACCAGGTGGCAAGGAACCAATAGCGCATGAGTTTAGTCCTTCGGTTTTGATGCAGACTGAATTCGATCAGTCAAGTTTGCAGTGTGGTTATCTTGCTAGGT